TATCATTAAAATAGTATAAAATCTCAGCAGAGTTTTAACACAATAGACAGCTTCGGTGCCTTCTAGATGGCCCCAGGACAAATTTATCTGCTGTCTCTTTGTAGTAACACATTTGTATTATGTCACTTTATTTCTTCTTATCTGTCATATTCTGAAATTAAACTATGTGCTGTATTTTATACTATTTTAATGATAAGGTTGCAAGACTAATCAATCAATAAAATACTGTATCAACCATGCTTTCTCTTACCTGTCTTTGTGCTTTGATACGAAGGCCAGCTGAGTCTCACCAAACCCTGGAGTTAGCTCTATGGTAGACAAAGTAAGGTCTCCCAGCAGTGCGAGAATGTAGAAGATATATTTGAAAGCAGAATTAACCTTGGAAATTTTTTTCTGGATTAAAATCCACAGGGGATACAATGCGAATTACTGTTATTCTGATAATTGCAAGGAAAAGCCATTGTCCGACCCACTGAGCAATGGATGTTGTTTGTACATCAGATAGGAAAAAAACATGTTTGTATCCCCTGTAGCTAATCCACAGAGCAGATAGACTTGAGAATCAAAGTGAAGTAAACTTGTTGCCCTATCTGAAAGTGAACACCTGCACAGAAGATGGAGTTTGATCTGCACCATAGTATGTTCAGACCGAATGGGTGCTGATGGGGCAGGGTGGCAGTCAGCTGTACCCTAGTAAGAGTGAGCAATCATGCCAACATTTAGGTGGAATAAGAGGTTTAGTTATATCCACAAGACAGGGGATGGAATGGATGGAGTGATGAAGTTTATATGGCCACCCATCTCATGCAAAGTTATTCTGAGCAGCATACATCAGTCCAGTAAAATTGTTAACAAAGAAAACAATCATTGCTTAAAACCTTTATACAACATTTATTAAAAAGAATTGAAATTATCAGGATCCCCAAGGCTGCTAGCATGACCAGATCTGAGGGAAGTTCAGAAGCTCAGGAGTGATGAGGCTACCAATGCAGCTCAGCAAGCAAAGGTATAATGAGACCTACCAGAAACATAACTGCTCTTGCTAATGCAGTTTGCACCACCTGAAGTTTCTGGATACTCTTCAAGGGAAGGACCATATGGAACACATTGCAATAGTCCAACCGAGAGGTGACATGGGCATCCTTTGTCCTAGAATGGGTGCAACTGGCACGTAAAAAAAGTTGTGAAAAGGCCCTTCTAGCCTTAACTGCCACTTGATCCTCAAGCAGGAGTTGTGAGTCCAGGANTGTTACCTTCCCACCAAAGGAGGTTCCTATTTTCCTACTTGCATTTTTACGTGCTTTTGAACGGCTAGTTTGGCAGAAGCTGGGACAAGTAACGGGATCTCACTCTGTTACGTGGTGCTAGGAATTCAAACCACCAAACTGCCAACCTTTCTGATCGACAAGCTCAGCATCTTAGCCCCTGAAATGTAAATTACCCCCAAAATAAAAGTATTCCATCTCCTACAAAGAGTATAAACTGCTGTTCAATTTATATAGCTTTGGAAAGGAAAAGCTTTTGTAGCCCAATTACATGGACTGGTTGATTCAGTGTCTGATGAATATTATGTCCAATTGCTCCTGTTACGGCTGCTACATTTAACCTCGTTGGAGTAAATTTACTTCCCAATGAAAAAAGACCTTAACTTTCACATAGCCACGGATCTTCCAAAGCAGTCTTACTGAGTCGATTGAGAGTTTCCTCCTGTTTCACTTTTTGCCAGAGAAATCTTCCTTAATTTTCCATCCTAACCTTGAAGTTGCATATTTAATTTTTCCAAGGCTTAAAATTGCATTTTTGTTTCCTATTGGGGTTCCTTTGCAGATGAAGCATAAGAACAGCAGACTCTATGCAAAAGCATAACAGCTATTAAGTTTCAAAATCTGCTTCTTATTGGGTAGTGGAATGTAGCTAGAATTTTGCTACCTCAGCATTTTCACATGGAAATTCTAGCATTTCCATTCTGGAAATTGCTAGTACATGACAATATTGACTGAGAAGAAAGGAAAGGAAAGGAATGAAAGAAAAGAGAAAGGAGGGACGGGACGGGCAGAAAGGGAAGGGATGGGGGAAGAGAGGAGAGGAAAGGAAAGGAAGGGAAAGGGAAGGATGGGACGGGACAGGAAGGGAGGGAAAGGAAAAGCAGGAAAGAAAAGGAAAGGAAAGGGAGGGGAGGGGAGGGAGGGAATAGCAATAGCAGTTAGACTTATATACCGCTTCATAGGGCTTTCAGCCCTCTCTAAGC